GAGAACTTGAACAATTGGTGGCTGACTAAATACTTTTTTGCCCCACTGTATATTAGGTTCATCAATAAAAATCCTCCATAATGGTTCTCATTCTACATAATGGGTTACTTTTCATTGTTAACATTTTGTTATCAATACTTCTATTATAATATTTACAGAAATGTAGCACTTTTCTTGAGTTGAGGACCTGAGTACTTGTTACACCATGAAATTGCCTTAACTTTTAGGGAAATAACTTTATCAAGATATTCTATATTTAGCTGAAAGGAAGTGGTTCGAAACTCACTGTTACAACCTTCAGGTCTGGGTATGGGCGGCAGAGGAGGAGGAGTCGGTCCTGGACTGTCGCCTCGCCCAGGTATTGGCCTGGGTCCCCGAGGTGTCAGACCCTGAGGGATTGCAGCTTGGAGCATGCACAGAAAGATGAACCCTGAAATCACCGCCATTTTTTCCTGCAATAAAAAGGCAGAGAGCAGAGGACAGTTGTTGAAGGCTTACTTTTAACTCCAACGCTCTTTTTAAATGCAGGAAATAGCTGTCAAACAAGTGAGTCTTCACAGAAGGTGTCTTCACAGAGCTCAGGAATGTTTATCAATGTTTTAAACAGTGTCTGTGAATGACCACGCTGTGGAAAAATAGCACAATATTTAAGATTGTAGCTTAAATCCAAATTTCAGTTGTTACATCCCACCTGTTTGGTGAAGCATCCATGACTGCGTTCCCAAACTATTTCATATCAAGATCAATAAAACATAAAAAAAGACAAGAGAGGAGTTTGTGTAAATATGGCCCTGAGCTAAAGAAGACATGTACTGTTTGGATAGGACAGCTGTGTGCTGTAAATTCGGATTACTTTTACTAATCACACACAATAAACATCAGCAAATACAAATTAATAACACTCAGACTAAACTCTTTTTTTAGTGTAACACCAATCCACATTTTGGGTTCCCAAAACAAAGACAACAATACATGGTAGAATTTTACTGAAGGAAATCAAATCAAAAGAGGTTTTTCTTGTACAGTGCTTGAATGTAAATTCAATTACCTAAGTACTTTTTGAGGTACTTGTACTTTGCTTGAGTATTTCCTTTTCATGCAGCTTAATGTCCTACTTTACTCAAACCAAGAGGGAAACATTATAGTTTTAACTTGATTACATTACTGTCTATTGTTATTTGCTCACACATTGATATTTTACAAACCAAAAAATGTGTTCTTATTAAATCGAACCAATAAGAAGATACTATTTGCTCGACTGGACACACAGTTAAAATGCTGTTTTCAAAGGGGAAATTCTGCAGTTGTATTACCACAGTGTAAAAACAAAATTAAAAGTCCTGCATTTAATTGTTAACTTTTTTTATACTAATCCAAATGTCGACCAAAAGCAATCCCTATAGTAGGCTATGCAAAACGGCCCATTTCTTAACAATGTATATTGTGCTATTCAATTATAAATGTTGATGTATTATTTTTAATCTAAAACTGGTAAAAGCAGGGCTATTCTGGTTTACTTTATTTGCTGTGAATTTCCTCCAGGGTTCAATTAGGTTAATCTTGATCTGCAATACATAATTGTTTACTTATTGTTTGTATTTAATATTATATTTTGAATGTGCAAATACGGTCATTTAAGTCATCGTTTAAACGTAGTGGATTGAAAAATAACCTACAAGATATGCCTCAGAATAAAGCAGAAACTAACCATATAGTCAACAAGTACCTCAAAAAAGTTCACCTTCCACCTTATATCTAAATTAATTTGCGATTTTGGTCCAATTTATCATAAAAATAATATTAAACTCTGAACAGTGAAGTGACCATATACTTTTACTATTGATGCTTAAAGCACATTGTTCTCTTATTTAAACTTTTACCAGACTATACTTGTCATTTTACTTACTTTGAGTTATTTTGTTTTGAAAACACACGTCAGCTGCAACGTTAAGCAGACCTTCATATAATCGAAACACTACTATAATAAAATGTTGTGATACTTATCTGGTAGGCCTATGTGCTTTACACACCTTACCTCTCTAAACTTTCAGAAAAGTAGAAACAAATGACTCACCGCGGCGACTGTGGGGACAAAGTGAAATCTGTGAGCTGCACCTCGACTCTGTCAAGAATTCAAGCGTTTTCCAGTGATTGTAAACTTCTGTTAATCACCTCGTTCTAGCCAGCCTCCACTTGGGAAAACCTAGTCAAGCCAGCCCGCTCCTGATATTGCGGTGCGCGAATATCCTATGCATTACGGTAGAGTCCTGGAAAAACTGCCTTCCAAATAAAAGCGCTTACTCGGTCAATAACAAATACACCTAAATAACCAAACATATTAAATTAAGAAATATGTACCATATAATGTGATCAATAATTATTTAAAACAAACTACGTATAACTACCACATTATAACTGAGTGAATGTAAAACTTAAGGAGTTTCAAAAATAAAAGACCTTTGAAGTCTCATATATGAGCTATCATCCCTCTGTTTTTAGATAAGAATAAAACAAAAACTCTCCAGTATCAAAGACTCATTTCACTCAAGGGTGATAGCAGGACACCCCAACTAGTCACTCAGAAAAGATCAGGACATTCTGATGTAGAGTTTCAAAATAAAAGACCTTTGAAGTCTCATATATGTGTAAAATAGAAAATAAATAAAGGTTAAAGCAAAACTATCCATATTCACTGCAGAGTATCTACATCTAAATGCACACTATAGAACAGACAAGAATACATGTAAGTGCAATGTAGCAGACGGATCAAACAATATGGTGATGGGAGTTATCTGCTGGCCAGGGATGACGAGTTGTAGAGGGTTATTACTTTAGAAATGTTTTTCTTTATGTATGTACACATGACAAAACACTTTTGAATCTTTTAATTTTTGAAAAAAGTGTGGGTGTGGAGTCCCTCCAGTTCCTAGAATTCCATGAGCAGAAACTGACATAAAATGCATATTAATGGGTGCCAAGCATAGACTGTTTTTCCAAAGCCACTCCGCCTTATGTCCTATAGATATATATTTTAGGGACACTGATATGATACTTCCTATTCTTAAATACACTTGCAACAAATATATGTGTTTTTGATACCCTACACTTACAGTACAAGAACATTTACAATGTTTTTAGTATCACTGATATTGATAATAATATGAACCTGTCTACATCAAATTAGTTGTTAAGCCTCAAGCGACTTGGGCCCATGGCAAATTGTTGTGTCAGCTGTTTAAATGTTTCCTACTTAACAATTAAACAGAGGCAGAAATAAGAAAATTGGTGATGCGACCTTCGTTAATTATGCCCCAAAGCTGTGGAACACGATACCGTTAGACATAAGGGAAGCCTGCTCGGTCTAAATATTCAAGAAAAAGCTAAAGCTTTAGATAGCTACTTGGTTTTCTTTTATTATCCTGAATTTTGAATCTATGTTTTACTCAATGTCTATTCTATGCTAATTTTATTTATATTTGTATGTCTTTTAACCCTTTCATATGTGATATTATTGTTCTTGTTAACTGTATTTTATTTGATATCCATTTTCTTAAACTCTATCTTATGAGACTGTGAAGCACTTTGGACTGCAACTCCTATATGAAAGGTGCTATGCAAATAAAGGTTAGTGTTAATATTATTATTATTATTATTATTATTATTATTATTATTATTATTATACTCTACATCAAGAAAAACATGTTCTGTCTTTTACTGATCGCAGTGGGTGTCAGCGTATTCGTCTTGTATTTTATTTTTTTATATTTCTGTGTTTTTGTATTTTCCCTTTTCTGAAATACAGAAAGGCTTTTAAATTGGAGTGGGCACAGACAGTCACAAGGCCCCATACTATACTTCTGAACTTTAATAATCATATCATTTTGAACAAATAAATACACACAAACACACACACAAATTGGTGAAACAGACAAGATAACATATCATTGTTTTAGGAAAGCATTTTCATTCTCATCTATCATACATTAGTTTGGAAAGGATTCAAGTTTATGTTGTTTACAGCATCGGCACTCTATCCTTGGTGCTTACCCTGCTTCACAAATTCTTCCCATGATTGCTGATGCTGTTCCAATTGTTACCATCTGCTAGTTTGTAATAGGCTGTTAACTAAGATTCAAATGTACACCATTATCGTGCATCCATTTGTGGTCACTAAACTTGGCAATGTAAAAAAAAATCACATTCACACGTTTTTCCAGGACTCTACCGTAATGCATAGGATATTCGTGCACCGCAATATCACGTGCGGGCTGGCTTGACCAGGTTTTCCCGAGTGGAGGCTGGCTTGAACGCAGTAGCAGCTCTCTGTCTGTACTGTCTTTCGGCAGAGAGCTATGAAACGGCGTAATATGGCTGTTTATTCGTTTTCGGTGGCGTGATTTGCATACAGGACCATCTAAGGCGCTGGGTGGTGCCATCAGGTGTCAGGTGCTTTACGATAAATTGACCCCCCTTAAAGTTACGAGCGGTGACCGCACCGCACCCTTACCCACAAGTACCAGACTATTACAAAACCAGGACCTCTAAGCTATGTTCCCTAAGATGCTACTAATTACATTGCATTTCAGTTATCCGAATTTTTAAAACCCAAAACTACTTAAAACAAGTGCCATCAACCGTGAGGATATACCCAGATGTTTGCTAAATTGAAAAGCAAGTGAAGCCGCGCAGTTCGTGTCCACTTACTGTTGTAGAAGAGTGGATGCCAATGCCGATACGAGGATGTACTGCCGACTGTACACAGCAGAGAGGAGAAGCCGCTTCGTTCCCAGTAGGTGGGGTTATGATAGTCACTGTCTGAATCTGCCGAGTCAGCGCGTAATTATGCATAAAGGGATTCGTGGGGTGGGTTTTAGGATCAAGGAGGAGCATGATACACTTATGATAAGTTAAACAGTTTACACGTTAGGATTTAGTGCGAACCAGTTCATAAAACTAACCAACAAAAGAGCCCACATGACTTCTTTTATCAAGGGGAAAGTGTACATAATTTTAATGACAGATTTGTACATTGACACATTTTACATACACAGAAAGAAGAAGAAGATGACAGTAATAATTGAACCCATCTTTAGGGAAACAGTGCAATGTGTCATTCCACTTTGTCAGCTACAACATGCAAAATAAATAATAACCTATAATCACCCACTATGTGCAGAAGACCCCCCCCCCCCTTATGTCTTATATTTATGAACACAGTCTATGATAGTGATACAGTCAGTCCTAACGCGCTCAGCCGTCCCTGGCTGCAGAGGTCACTACATGTTTTTGGCTTTAAGCGAGTCAATCTGACACCACTCCCTCTCCTTTCACCATCTCAATGGAAACCTCTATCTGCTTCTTCACTGGCTTTGAGGAGGGCCATGTCTGAGGCTTACAGGAGTCAGGAGAGGCGTCAGAGTTTGGGTCCCTTTGACCCTCCGTGTGCAGATGTGTGCAGATGTCTGTAAACTGGCGGCTTGTGGTCTTGATGTTCGCCTTGTGTTTGCTTCCATACACCGAGCTGGGCATGGGTCTCGCCTTAAAGGCCTGTCGTTCCTCTTTCAGCCCCAGGTTCCCCAGCTCTGCAACAATCTTCGCCTCCCTCTTCGTCCTCTCCCTCTCCAGGAAATGGAAAGGCTGTGGAGAAGCATCGGCAATGCTCTGGTTCCTGTTCGTGTTCTTTCTGCTTCCTTTGCTGCGGGTGGATCGCTGGCTGAGACGACGGCTGATCACTTCGTAGAGCGGCTGATGGATGTGCGCCGGTGCTGGTGACGCCCTGAACTTTTTCTGACACTCTTGGAGCTCCTCAAGCTCCCGTTTCAGCAAAGTGTTCTCCAGCTGGATCTCCGAGCGAGTGCGCACCTTGTGCCTCTTCCTCTCCTCCTCTCTCAGCATCATCTGGAAGGGTTTGGGCACGGTGACGTTGAAGTTGGACCTGACCCTGACCCCAGTTGGACGTGAAATTCTCCCCTTTGGATTCGGACAGGAGGCCTTGGGCTTAAACCGAAACTGCTTCTGGGTCGTCATTTCTTCTGGGCTCAGTAGGAAGTCTCTGGGAGAAGAGAGAAGTGAGTGAAATGTGATAATGTATTTAAATGAAAGCAAAGTATCAATTAGAAGACTGAAAGGATTTACTTTCCACCCCTTTTAGTACTATCGTATCTTATCTTTTAAATAAAGTTATCAATGTTAACGGGTTAATGCTCGCAATCAATCTGGAAACCTTAACACAAAAAATATCCAACATAAAAACAGTGCAAAACAAATCTTCTTATTGGTCTTCTGGCCCGCTTTATAAACCCCAAAAATGTTGAGTAAACCAAAGTTTTATGTGATAAAAGTTTAGTATGGGTCCACAGCACATAGAAACTGCCGGATGCTAACTTGCATGTTGGGCAATTTGCACAATTAAGTTCAAAATGTCTTGGCCGATTTGGACAATATTCAAGTGATTTTAGGGTTATTGAGGATGGGTGATCCAGTCGATCAAGTGTCCTTATAAACTTCAATCAAAATCAGCCAGGAGTTGATATATGGCCACTTTCGAGTTAAAAGGTCCGAAATGGATACAGCATCATTAATTAACCACAAAATCAGTCCAATATTGTCAAGTTGGCCAAGCCATATAGCCATATATATTTTAACCATATAGGCCATAGTGGTTATTACTACTAAATAATGACATTAATGCTAATTGCCCAACATATGCAAGTTAACATTTGGCAGTTTCTAAATGCTGGGGACCAAGACTATGCATTTCTTACATAAAACTTTGGGGTACTCAACATTTCCGAGTTCACAATAGGACTCTGTGAGCTGGCAGCTAGACTGAATCTACGTTTTCCCCCCAAGACTCTCCAGATTTGAGGATTTGTCTGCGTATACTTCACCAACCTCTCAAAGGTTCGGTCCTGGCCAGCTGTTCTGGGATTTTCCAGCTCCAGATCCCCCGTGCTGCTCGCTCCGTAAAGCTCTGATTGGTCCGAACCGCTCGATGAGTCGTGGAAGTCCAGCTCCTCCTGGGAATTGATCCTCTGGAGTTTCCTGACAGGGCCACTGCTTGATTATCAGGAAGGAGGAAGGAGGCATTAATTCTCCTGCCACTTGACTCCAAAATAACTTCCTAAACAAAGTCTCAGACTGCCTGAAAAGTACTACTACATCAATAAAATATCAAATATGCACTAAAGTGTTAGATGGAGCAGTGTTGAATAGGTTTAATAGGTACATTTTTTGTTTTTGATGCCGAGTCACCATCTTGACCTTTGAACTTAAAAACACACTCATTACATAAAATGGAGGACTAATAAACACATTATCAAATGGATGCCTGTTTAGATGTGTCTGTTCACTAACGACTGTATTGAAACTCAATATTGCCACCTTCAGGTAACAATAGGTTAAAAGGAGAAGTGTATTTACAGGGTGTAGTTTATCTTCACATTATACTGTAAGTGCATTCGCTTTATGATTTTAAAGAAAGCTTCTGAGAGTATAATATGTATATAATATAATCAATAATTCATGATACATTGTTCCTCGCCCCACAGTAGAATATATCAGCCATCCAATCAATTTATTTTACTTACAGCCTCCTGCACTCAGATCAAATGTTACCAATGAAATGACCACCCATATTAAATCCTCTCTGAGTCCATGATGACACAAAGCTGCACAGTAAGCATCATTCTTGGTAAATAACAGATGAAAACAGACATCTGGAATGTGTCTAAAATGGGCTATATTTGTTTGAAAAGTTTTTATTCTGTAGTTATACATAACATCAACTCAATGGCTACATTTCAGTGTAATGCCAAAGCGACTAAAAAAGTCAAAAAGGTCTAACCTGATAGACAGTCTGTTCTCTCTGTTGGCTCTTCCTCCATCCTCTTCCTCCTCTGCAGGACTCTCCCTATGCTGGCCGATGTACATCCTCTCCAGCTCGGCCATGTTCTTCTGGTGTGCGCTCTTCAGCTCCTCCAGCC